GCCGCGCGCGCCCGGGCCCGCCCCCGCACGCGGCCAATCCGCCGCGCCGCCGAGTCCCCCAGCCAATGGGACGTCGAGGAGGGGTCGGTTGCCTCGGCAACCGCGGAGCTGCCTGGCCATTCACAGCGCGGCTTCTTGGTGGAGCCGTTCGAGCTGAGCCAAGCGCGGAGGCGCGCGGGAGGGCCGGCGGCGCCATTTTGTGGGGGGTGGCTTGGCCCGGGGCCCTCCTTCCCCCGGCCCTTGAGGCCGCTCGCGCCGTCCGGGCAGGAAGTGACACGAACCCGGGGTTAGTCCCTCCCCGGGCCGCAGGCTGCCTGCTCACAGTAGCCTCCATGCCCCCCTTGCCTGCAAAAGAGATTTTTAAATTAACCTGTTACGGTGACTTTTGTGTTCAATTAAAACTGAGGAGTTTGTAATTCTGGGCTTTGCGTCTCCCTGGTTTTAAAATTGTTGTTATCTCTCGCAATACTTCGCTGCAAGGGAAAGTCATCCAGTTGCAATAATCTGCGTCTGGAGCATCTGAGAGCGTTTTTGTTTGTTTGTTTAACGAATATAYATGATTACAGTTCCCCTAGTCTGAAATGCTTTTTGTAAAACTCTTCATTGGTTTTTTTTTTTCATGCTGCCCAGCACTTGTTGTGAACATTCGCTAGAGAGAAAAAAGAAATGTTAAAATGCCAGTTAATCAATTGGAGTATTAGCTGTTGCTGGGTTTTACAGTTAACAGCTCTAAATGAGATCAGAGAATTCAGATGTCGGCTGGGTGCTGCCAGGTGGAAAATCTTTGCACTACGCGTGGAACAAGATTATAATTCATTAAAATATTGCAGGAGTGGAAAATAACCAAATATTCCCYGATGTGCCCCTGGCATCGGCAGTTAGGGAGCAAGTTTCTGGAAGAAAAGCAAAGCTCTGCAGTGCACGGCACGTAACTTCACAGCGAGCTCTGAAGCGGCGGCTAAAGCCTCTGGGTGCCTGTGTGTGCCTTACAARACAGAAAAGAGAGAGAGTTTAGCAGTAACATAGACCCAGAAAAATGACACTAGGAAAAGTAACATATTCGTACAGCTTGTTTGCAAATAAAATACTAAAAATGAGAATTGAAGTATTAGCTTTAATATTCTCTGCAGTGAGGGTCCCAATAAATTCCCGAGGAAGCCCCGGCAGGGTTTTTAGCAGGGTCTAATTAGTTAAGTAGCGAATGATTTATTGAAGGCTAGTGGGAAGGCCTGCGTGTATTTTTTTTTCAGGCCACTTACAACGGAGGTCAGGGCTGATTCCCAGTGTCCGGCGCAGGAATAAAGGAGGAGTCAGGGATGGCTGAGGTGCCCACTGAGGCGAGGATCCTTGCGCAGCTTCTCTTCGAGGGCCAGGTATTTCTGTGGCGCCATCTGTTTTTCCCTAAAACAAGAAGGGRAGGATGGCAGACCAAGCCAGCGGCAGGGAGCAGCGTGGAATATTTGCCAGAATACCATCAGTGCTGAGTTTCTGGGAGGGCTGGTTGCCGACCTCCCGTGCAACCCTAGACAGGGTATTGGATCAGTTGCTCTTTCCCGTTACCTCTTGAGCCTTAATGCCAGGACCCGGATACGGAACATGGTTTCAGAGCAGTAGGCCAAGAAGTCGGCTTCGTCCTCCATGCTGAGCTGATTCTGGTTTTCCTGATACCAGCGATCCTTCTTCTGCAGCTCCTCTACCTCCTGGGGGGGAATGAGCAACAAGGAGTCAGGGCAACAGCGAGCAGCAAGGCTGCACGAAAGAGCAACTCCACGTTCAGGAAGCCAAGCCTGGAGGGAGCCATAAATGAGAGTCATCTTCTTTTCCAAACAGGGACCGAGTTTGACCCTAGGGCTATTCCGTGATCTGATTTCACTTTCTAAAGGCAGAAAAATACAAAGGCGTGCTTATGGCTTTCTTAACCCGATGAAAGGAGTTTTGTTTCGTGCTTGCTTTCATAAAGAAGTGTGTGTGCGACCCTCCTGCCAGAGCAAAAACCACATCCCTGCGGGAGCCAGGGGTACCTTTTGCAAGTGTGAATGGATGATGTTGGCCTTGTGAGTGAGACGTTGCTTAAAATCCGTCAGGCAGTCCTCTTTGATGCGCTGGGCCTGCCACTTGCTCATTTTCTCCACGTTGCCAATTTGAAGTAGAAAAGGGGCCAGGTAATCGAGCTCCTGCTCCTCTTGTCCCAAGAGGTCGTCCTCCATTAAATTGTCCTGCAGGGAAAGGAGTGAAAAGGATCACGATCCCATTTACTTGTGTCCCAAACATCCTGTGATGAAGTAAAATAAAAGCAAAGGCCAAAACACTTATAACCCCCTATGAAAAAAAGGATGTTTCTTTTTCTTACAATCTGATCAAAACTAGTGCTTTTCATTAGCTCTATCATATTAACACTTTCCTAACAGGTTTTTTGTTCTGTAGTTTACTTTTTACTGTATTTTTTTATCATCTCTCCTATTTTCCTTGACTGTGAAGATGTTTCTTACACAGAAAATATTATCCATGGAGATGTGAGAAGGGCTTCGCAAATGCTGCAGCATTGGACACAAAGGGGTAGGACAAGATAGTTGGAGTGATGTTAGCCTGGAGGTTGGCAAATAGCTGCTTCTGGTATCTTTCCCTCTATTTTTGTTTCATGCCACATGTATTTGTCATGTAAAACCTGTTATTGCCTTTTATAAATTCTCTCTTGAGGAGAGCTCTGTCCAAAATCATTTAAAAGAAACATTTTGGAGACCCTGAAAAATTGCAAAAAAMCCATTCAGGAATCCTATCTGGAAAAAAAAAAAAAGTCAATTTTATGCAAGTAATAAGGAAATCAAGATAAGATATAAGCTATAGTGGATTAAATCTGTTAAATGAAGAAGTGTGCTTTTCCCTAACAAAATGAACTATAGTTATAAAGGTGCAGCTTGGATCTTCAGTTATCACAGTCCTCCCATAACCCCTATAATTAACAAAACCATGATAGTTATTTAAAAAAAAAAAAACTAATAAACTTACTATTTTTCTCTGTATTTTTTTCCCAGAAAGCTGGAAGGTGAGAGCATGACCTTGCTATATTTTCACAGAAAGGCAGTTGAAGCTGTGCTGCCTTTACCCTTGCTTGCATTTGGCACACTGGGTTTCAATAATTCCTTAGGAATTCCTTGGAAAGAAAAGCTTACTCTGGGTTTCTTCATGCACGTGTAATAAATACTGAGATCGATGACCCCTGCTTACCATAGCTTCATACTCTTGTCTTCTCTTTTCATTGCGCTCTGTATCATAAATTGAAACTGTCAGTTTGATGTCTGCTTCTTCATCCTCACGGATCTTCAGAATTTCTAGCACCTGTCCCCAAAATCACAAAAAAAGACAGCTTAGTTTTCTCATTTAGTGACAACACTCCTACATACTTGACTTGCTATCAGGACAGGTGCTATATACAAGAACTATATCTATATGTAATTCATATCTCTATGCATATTTATGGAAGACCAGATAAATGTAAAGATCTATATGAATATGTTCATATTCTGCTGATAGATCAATCTGATAATGGTTTTTATTTTAAAAGATATTCTATATGACATTTTGAATACAGTTTTTGATATTGCTCATTAATAAAGCTCTTCTGGATCAGAATCTTGCCACTGGTTTTACCTTGTTTTTATTTTTTTTTAAACCCAGGTTTCTATAAACCTTGCCTTCCAAACCTTGCCACTGGTTTGGAAATTGCACTGCAGCCTTGGCTTACTTCTTTGTCCCAATGGGATGTGCAATACAAGCACTGTGAACCTTTGATTTGTTTATAAATTAAGATTGAGAAACTGGGCAAGATAGTTTGGGGAGACGTAGTTTATAGCCTCCAAATCTTGAAAAATGGACTTTTGCAACCTAGTTCTTAAATTTCAGTAATATTTTGTGCTAGTGTTGCTGTGCATTCCCTCTCCTGCTCCTTCAGGTGTTCCTCAAAATCTTTTTTTTTTTTTTTTTTTAAATCTTCAAATCCAATAACTTTGCCCTCATCTCCAAGAATGGATATGTTTATTGGGAAGTACCATGTGAACCCATGCTGAAAATATGGACTTGTTACACAGGTCACTGTGTCATTAACAGTACAAGCAACCTGTTCTATGACTTATTTCCCTACAGTTGCTCCAATAAAAAAAAAAAAAATAAAAAAAAAAAGCAAAGATCATTTCAACATTATGGGTATTCTACCTAGAAGTGCCTAAGAACCAGATTTATATTAGATACATCTTCAGCTATCGTTTCTCTTTGGTCTCATCCCCAGGCAAAAGGCAAAAGGATTTCTAGCTGCTCCCACTTCTGSGGTGTTAGTCACTCTCTGAAACTGTCTCCCTACCTGAGAATGAAAAGTAAGAGCCCAATTTGGAAAGTGACTCCCCATAAAGATATTAAAGACATATCTACCAAATGAGTTGGTTGCAAGCGTTGTAATTCAGCATACAGGGCAGCTCTGTGACACTCGAATTCTTCTCACAGTTCACACTGGGAACGC